TTTTTTTTTTTTTTTTTTTTGACTTCGGTGTCTCTGATGGAAATTTTATGGTTCAGTCGTCGATAATTCTAATGTTTTAATCCTCTAAAATTAGTATCTCGCTTGTACGTGATATAAATATAATTATTGAGGATCCTCTATAAAATGAATATTTCGAAAATTATTATTAAAATCCACAATCTTTTTGCTGCTTTATATTATCTCACTTTCATTCGAAATTTCTCGAAAGACAGAGAACAAATTAATGCTTAAAAAATTAACTTCCTTGCGTTATTTAAGAGAGAAAAAAAAGACGAAGATTTCTCCTATCTTTATATCCAGTAAAATTTTCCTAAAATTGTCTGTTTTCAATTTTTGATCTTGATAGCAAACTCTTAATCAAATAGTACATTCTATGGAACGTGAATTTTACAAGCTTATGAATTTTAAGCGCAACACGTAAATAAAGTTTGCAAACGTGTAACATGCAGTTTGAATTATTTTTAATCACGCAAAAAAACTTCCTTCTTTTTTTCTCTCTCTCTCTCTCGCTGCAACTCTCAAATCGTTCAATTTCATTGATTTTTCAAGATAAACACGCATTCGTGTTTCCATTTACAAAACCGGGATGCAACTACTCTGTTTGTTCTTGCCCTAGCTTGGAATTCAATTAAATCACGTGTCGGTAACGAGAAGAACAGAAATTAAAATGCACCTGCAATTTTCCGGCGATGTTACGTACGAATTTGTCCAATTTCGAAAAATCAACATTACCAGATGATTCTCATCGTTTGCTCGATGAAACTCTGTTGAACGTGTGAAATGCAATTTTAATAAGAAATCACTGCTCACTGTTTAATTCATGCACGTTCGATCTAACGTTCAATTTGCGACTCTTTTCGACTAATTTCGTATTTATTGTAATGTATGTATACTCTCTCCGTTACTGTGTCTCGTATTTTTCTTAAATTTCAAGAAATTGAAGTAATTATTGAAATTATTGCTACATTTGCTTTGCCAATAGTAGGATTACTAAAGCATAAAGATTGCATCGAAGAAATCATATAAATCGAATATAAAAAAAAAAAAAGGTTTGTAATGCAAACTTTTATTCCTGCATTTTAAAATTAGAAAAATTCCAAATCACTAAAAGTACAACGTTGTAAATCTTCGTATTCTGGAAAATTATAAATTAATCGTATCGGTGTTTATGGACTATATCACCTTCGATATTAATTAAACGTATGAAGTATTTCGTGCACGAAGATTAAACAATCACGGAGCGCAGTATTCAAAGGGGAACGAGATGAGGGATTTACCAAGAAGTGAAAATTGTCGACCGATGAGGATAATAGATGTAATGATAAAGTAATTCCGCGTTAATCGAGAAATCTTTGATAAAACGAGTTCGCGAGCTAGTGAAATAATAAACGGCTCGTGTAGTTGCAGTTCCTCTCTCCTTCTGCTAAAAATTGCACGATAAGACAGAACGGAAGAAAGCTTTTGACGATATATAAGCCGGCTGGATTAAGTACTCGGGATAAGCTTATATTCTTTGAGCGTTCGTTCTTATTATTTCGAAAGTCTGGCCGACGGATGGTACGTGCATCGAGGAATCGCGTGATTAAAAAGCGAACTCGTTCTCAGAGGACGAAGTTGTACTTCGTCGATATTTGCGTTGCTAGCTCACGGTGTGATCTGAACATTTGTCTTCACTGTTATTTAAACTATTTAAAACCATTGCTAGCTGTTGTTTAAAGTTATTGCTCCATCTTTCAGAAATTGAGAAATCTCTTCTTAACTGTTGCCGGATAAACACAAAAATAATACAAGCTACAACGAAACCGAAAGGGTTTCCTTTTTTTCGAAAATTTAAAACAGCCTCTCGACCGTAGAATCTCCGAATGAATGGAAATTCGTTCAAGCGAACGAGCCCAATCGACAAGCTTCCTCGCTAACGTAAACCTAACCTGACCTAAAACCAATGCGATTTCCTTACGATAGAATTTAATTGGCCGGCCACGTGGCTCGTTTCGCTTTAAACTCGGCGACAGGCTCGAATTAAATTTTTCGAGCGTCGCACGGAACGAGCGCAGCGTGATGGAAAAGCCTTTATTGCATTACACGAAACAATTTCCCAACGTATTGGGGACGCGCTCGCATAAATAGCGAAATTGTCCGGATTACAGGCGAACGCGATCGCGTTTGATTAAAATCCCCGGCCGGCTGCT